TTCAACCCTCAACAGTTGATTCTTCATTTTGTTGATGCCGAGTCTGCGTCTTGATTTTTGCGGTTGAGCTTGAGATATAGCTCTAAAAGTAAAGCTCCCTTATCCATTGAACTGTGGATTATTTGGAATATTAGAGAGCTGATTTTGTAAATGCCCGAGGTAGGACTACAAAGTTGTAGGTAACGTTCGATTATTGATTATTAATAAGCTGTTTAACAACTTAAAACCTAGCTTAAGCCAGTGATATTTTTCGGTTAATTCGACTTTGATTTATGAATCGATGCTTTTCAGCTGTTAACGATAATTTAGGAATTCTTGTTTAAAAATTTTGAAGACTGAATATATAATATGAAAAATAAAGTGATAAACAATATTTATGAAAAACCGTTCCATCTATCGAATACGGTCGCTCTCTGTGCCCGAATCAGGAAATTGCAGTTATTCTGTGCGTCTAAATCAGCAAATATTGATCAACTCCGGTTTCGAGAAAAGTTTAACTCGTTATCAGCTTGATGATTAACTCAGAGGGTACCAAATGAGATCTCAGAACAAGCGGCCTTCTCTTTTCTTCTCTCCTCCCAAGCTCCATGTCACTTGAGGTTCTTTTTTTCCCTCAAATAATTTGGGTTAACGAAAACTGAGGATTTCAAAGTTTGGAATTTGGTACTGTTCCAAATTTCATGATCGTAGTATTGACCAGTATTAATTCGAACAGAATGAGAAATTCTTTGGGGTAAACAAGCAATGATGAGTCCACATTTGGTCCCAAACTCAGGTTTAGTCTTTCGACAGTGCTGCTAATCTGAAATGGGACGTACTAGATCAAATTGCAGTAATTAGGTCCCAGATAACCAAGTGCAATATCCTGATCCCCATAGCACACACCTTGTCATCTTGCTTTGATGAATCATTTTCCACTCTCCAGACGCTCTTCTTTTATCAAAATTTGATTGAAGCTTTACTAAGCTTCCATAGAGGCTCTTAACGATGATGTTAACCGGAAAGATTTGAACTTAACTTTTATTCTCGATTGTAACTTGTAAGCATGGTCTTTGACATCGATTTTGCAAAATATAAACAGTTGACTTGCAGAGTATCGTTACTGTTTGATATCGGTTCCCAAATATTATCATTACAGTCTGTACTTTTGGGGTTTCCCCCGTACCCACGCGTGAATTATTTGATCCAATAGGTCAACTAAAATTTTAATTTGCTGTAATACCCTTAATCTCGTATATCCCTGAATACGAATGAAAGATTTAACATAACATTTACAAACATTCTACAACTGAAAACCATTACAAATTTGAATATTAATTTTTTTAATTTAATCATTCTAATAAAATAATTTAATCACATAACGTCAAAATATAATATTTAAATATCTAAATTGATATCAGTTTCAGGCAACAACTTTATAGTTTGATGTTGTTCCATGTCACAAAATAAATTATCGAAAAACTGCAAAATTTTAATATCCATTTCGATAATATATAAAATATAATTTAATAAACTATTATTCATACAAAATACCATTTTATCTACTATCAGTTATACTAAGTCCATATTATTTATATTATACAAATCAGTTTAAAACTACGTTGACCAAACATTATTATAAAACACATTATATACATATCAATAATAAGTCAAAAGATCAGAGGATGATCATATTGATACTGGATGAGAATATGATTCTGCACAGTGATGCTCAATATACTCCTCACTCCGTAGACTTTTCATTTCATTTACCTACTCGTGAAACAATCACACGTAAAATATAATTTAGTGAGACATTATAAATAAAACGAGGTGAGATAAAATATAAAATAACATAATATTTCAAAACAATATAATTAATTCAAATAAAACACTTGAATTTCCAAACCGACTTAAATAAGCCATTTTCTCATCTGTAAACTTGTAAAATCAATATCTCATGATTTTATAAAATCATATCAACCAATGTCAAATCACAATAATCGGTAAATATTCATTTCCATTCGATCACATATTCAACATTTTCACATTTCAAATTTATAGCCCAATGTATACCTATAGAGAATGCAATGTACGTGAGTCACTCGAGTGTGTGCAATATGTACCCGTAAATGCCTATATCAATCTGCACCATAGGTGAACACGTGAAGTACGATAATGTACTATATCAATAACAATTAAACAATGATCACTCCGTCTCATGACATGTCAATTGTACCTACGACTACAATGGGTTTTACTGTAAAATCATATCACTAGTATATCCAATTGATGACATATCCAAATATGATTTATTAAAAATCAATGTGCTGGGCAGTTCATACCCAAAATAATTCATAAATCATTTCGGTAAACATTATGAAAATATTCCATAATTTTGATTCAAACCTTTCTTTAAAAATCATACGAGTTTGATTTATCGTAAGTCTTCCTCAATCAATATAATTAAATAAATAAAATACACTCACATTTGTCTCACTATCGAACCTTTACATCGATATTCCTTTTAATCACGTACTCGATCCTTTGCCTTCGATTCGATTCAATCACAACATTTATTGCACTCTAGACAACATCATGTACACAACATAATATTCAAAGTATACGTTAGTATTATACTAACATAATCAAAATCCAATAATAAAATCCACAAAATATAAGTTGATACTTATTCGATATAGAATCACTTCATTTCTCAACAACAACTTCAACATCTCTTATATAACACTTCAATTCCTTATATTTTCATATTCATCGTCAAGCCACTCAATTTCATAAACCTTACAACTTAGTCACCATTTATGAATTCATACCAACTTTTCCAATTAATTCAAAATGATCCTTAACCATTTTATTCAATTCAAATCCAATACTAAAATTTCCGAATTTGAAATAATATTTTCAATCTAATACATTCTCATTTGTAAACTTGTAATTCAATCCCCAAACTTTCCAACATATTCAAATTATCCACCAAACCTTACCATATTTTGCAATTTTATCCAAAACAATATTCTAACATCAAATTCAACATTTAAATAACAATTTCCAGCATTAATCACTCATAATTGAACAATTATACATCAACGTCTCATAATTTCCTAAACTTGCAAAATAGTCCCTTTACTATCGCAATGTTTCAAATCAACTTCTAAAGCATGTAGAATCATTCCAATATCAAATATAAACCATAGGGATTTTTTTTTGAATATTTCCCTCTATTTTAACCCTTTGGACGAACGTAATTAGAAAAATAGGACAAGAATTTGATTCAATTTCAAGCATGGATTCAACCTTCTATGATCAAATTCATGTGATTCCAATCATCCTAACATCAAATTCAATCCAAATTCTATCAATTCTCATAAACCCTAGCTTGGCCGAATTATATATGCAATTCTAGATGATTTTAATCATCACACATACTTGGAAATTAATCTACAACACCAATAACATAAAAATCATCCTTTAATTCTTCAAAATTCAACATGTTCTTCATGGATCCTAATTATGAATTTCATCATCCAAGCATGTTTTCCATGAACTAATTATACCAAATGATAGAGAATTTCAAATAGATTAATTCTATATCTAATAGCTTAATCCAAAAATCAACCATAAAACCTTAAAAATCAAATTGAAAACCTCTCTCTTACCTTCAATAGAGCTCACGGCCAAAGCAAGAAGAAGCTAAAAGTTTCTTGATTTTTCTACAAACATTTCATAATATACTTGGCCTTAATTTAATATAATTGAATTTTAAATTCAATTAATATAAAATTATCATTTTACCCTTAATGAAACATGATAATTTCTTATTATCTTTGTAATATCTTTCATTTTAATATTTCAAATTCAAATCTGAACAAATAAAAATTGACTTTCCACCTTTACCCATGTAATTTTTTGAAAATTGCAATTTAGTCACCAAATTTCACAATTTCGGTTTAACATGGAAAATCGACCGTAATTTCATTGGTCCATGTTAAATTTCATTTTTCTAAATTATGAAAATAATATTTCTAACCTTTTTCTACCATCCTTTAGAATTTCTCGAAATTCCGATTCAATTTGATTATCCGAAATTCTTCCAAACTTTACTAATTTATAACTTTTAATACGAATCCCGAATCAAAATTATGATCCCACAAAAATGTTATTTTCGGAGTGAACTATTCATTTATGGCAAAAAAAATATAACCTTTGAAAAATCATTTTTGTCCCTAAACTTTTACAAAATTTATATTTTTGCCACTAAACTTTCAAAATGTACATTTAGTAACTAATCAAAATTTGGGGTATTTCATTTGCAATCTATGACAAATACTACAATAAACTCATCACGTCGATGTGACGAGTTTGCTTGGGAATATTTTTTAACTGTCAATCGTTTATAAAGAAATTAACGAGGTGACGAGTTTGCTTGAAAATATTTTTTAATGGTCAGCCTTTAGTTTTAAAAAAACTAGCCGTTTATAGCCGTCATGCAATAGGCATCTGCAATGGTCAGATTGCAACGGTAGAAACTTGTCACCTCAAGGAGATGAATTTCGTTGGAGTTTTTTTTTATAAAAAATTTAATCATTCATGGCCGTTGGTTTTAGGTTCTAAATAGGAGTTTGAGATTTAAGTTTTTTTATTGTGTTTTGTTAAAAAAAATTGAGAGAAATTAAAATATTTTGAAAATTCCCAAAAAAAATATCTACCGTGATGAAATGTTACACTTTAATATTATTCGTATTTCTTCACTCAAATTCAATCTAAAAGAAGAACAGGATATTTGTCATCGAGGAATGAATTTGAGATATTCATCTCAGCGAACCTAGATATGAAATAAAAGGTTGATGCGATCAAATTTCGATTCGCAAGTCCAACTTTTATATATACACATGCCCTCGACAAAATACATGAAATGCAGCCAGAGTGGCATTTTGGTAGTTATCTAGAAACACAAAGGGCAAGTATAAGAATATAGTGTCACCAATCACAACCCCCGGCGATTAGCTTGAGTTCCTATTTCGCCGCCATCCTTTTAGCTCTCTTCTTTTTTTATTTATGCTCTCTTTTTTCTTTCTCCGATAACAATTCCAAGCAAAGATATACAAAATTAATCACACGCCTTCCGATACCCAAAACTTGGAAAAACCAAAGCCTATTGAACAAAAACTTGATAAAGCGAGCGGAGATGTGGCGATGCGTATCTCGTTGCCTTCGAGTTCCATACTCGAAGGGATCAGTTGCCAGTGATTCTCTTAGATCACACATGTCCAGATTCTTCTCCACTGATTCCGTACTGTTCTTTCTTCCTCCCTTTAGTTCTAGGGTTTTTGAACTCCTTGTTTGTTTTTTTATTTCATTTCCTTTTTGATACTTTGAAAATCAAAAGCTGATTTTCTTTTTTGTTCCCGATTACGAATTTTCTCGGTAGATCTGATTGGTTTTATCTCATATGTTAGTGTTTGCACTGTTTCGCTGATGAGAAAAGGAATGCATGCAATCTACGCTTTATTCTCTTAAATCATCTTTGATTTAGCTCCTTTTAATCGACTTTTCTAATATTATGTATAAACAAATACCATGTAGAACTTAAGCTTAGTTAACATCTTACTCTAATGGGATAAATTTCCGTTTTCTCTCCACGTTGATTATTTTAGCTGCGGTCACACAATGCATATAAATTTTATTGTTTGTAAAGTACTATGTGTTCCTCTGATCATGGACGTTTCGTGGAATTGATTTAGTTATTATAAAAAAATAACAAAAAAGGGATTCTGTTGAACATTTGCTATTTTGCAGGGAAAATCCCCTTATACAATAGTGAATCATACCTATGATGCAGTGGTGGTTGGTGCTGGTGGTGCCGGGCTGAGAGCAGCCATTGGTCTTTCAGAGCATGGATTTAATACTGCTTGCATAACTAAACTTTTCCCAACTCGTTCGCATACCGTTGCAGCTCAGGTTTCTAGACCTTTGTTGCTCGTGATTATGTGTTATGCTGTTGCTATTATTCAGGGCATGCATGTGTACGGTTACTATAGATTAATGGGACTCACGGTTATAGATTTTATGGGCATATTGTTTCTATGATTTAGTGGGTTTACATAGATCGTACTTGTCTCTTGCTGTTGTTTCCTTCCTCATCACGGATATTTGGGTGGTTTGCACAATAACTGGTGTTCTCTTCTCCAACTAAGATTGAGAATGAATTGCAATTACCATTACTGTGGATTGTGGACTTTTCTTATAGTTCTTCAAAGACAATAACTTACCACTCCTATACTTTTTATATTTGATCTATTTTTGTCTTTTTCATTTTAAAGTGCAATACATGGGTATTTGAATTTCTTATTTCGATATTGCTTTATGAGACAAGCCACACTTCTCCATATTTCTATGTAAAAGCAAATTCAGTTTTTATTTACATGTTTAAAGCATGGTCTCTAAGGAGGTTATGAGTTCGGTGGTGCCTTTTGCTTTTCCATTCCATTTGAAGATTATTGTCTCATTTGTCTGTCGGGACATTTCTGTTCAGGGTGGCATAAATGCTGCTTTAGGAAATATGTCTGAAGATGACTGGCGATGGCACATGTATGACACAGTTAAAGGAAGTGATTGGTTAGGTACATGAATTGTTTGAACTTGTATTTCTTGTGATTTTATAGGTGTTACAGGGAATGTAAATAAGTATATGTTTTTTCTCGACATTTGATCATGTAAGAATAGTTTATTTTTAATCACCTTCTATTCTCAAGTAAAGTTGCATGTTTCCTTTAAGTACACTTTTGTCTTGCCTGATGTAGTTTATTACATCTCCATGCATTCATTGAATTGGTTGTCATATTTGTTGACCTTTTACCCTTTGAACTCCATTCAAACTATTTATAGTAGTTGTTTGCCTCCCAGAGCAATATGGCTGAAGCTAAGGTATAAGAGCTATGCCATAGGCTTGAACTTTTATATTGCATTAAACTACTTATTTTACTTGCATTTTTATAGCATCGTGAAGTACCTTTTTAACAATCATTTCCTCTTCACCGCCTGTTCTAACAAAAAAGAGGTTGTACTATTGTAGGCGATCAGGATGCAATTCAATATATGTGCAGGGAGGCTCCAAAAGCAGTGATTGAACTTGAGAATTATGGCTTACCTTTTTCTCGAACAGAAGATGGGAAAATATATCAGCGAGCATTTGGTGGTCAAAGCCTTGACTTTGGAAAAGGTACAAGTATATAAATTTGATAATTGGGATTAATGAGAGAATTCTGATCTTGGCTTCTTGGTGTTTTCTATCCTGGCCAGGTGGACAGGCTTATCGTTGTGCATGTGCTGCTGATCGAACTGGACATGCTTTATTGCACACCCTCTATGGCCAAGCTATGAGACATAATACCCAATTCTTTGTGGAATATTTTGCTTTGGATCTATTGATGAATAGTGATGGTAGGTTATAGAAGGGAATTTAAAAAAAACTCATCAGTTGTGTATCATGGTACTTTTGTTTGCGTTGGTTACCTGAGGCTGGTATGGCATATTTATCATTTCTTGTTGTTTACCTGTCGAAAATTTTGAGTTGTACACTTGTACTTGTTTTCTTAGTTTTGATGTGCATGCCACCTTACCATTTCATTTTCTTTTGTTTCTCATTTTTGTGATAACTAGTGTTGATTGGTTGTCTTGTGCAGGAAGCTGCCAGGGAGTAATAGCTTTGAACATGGAGGATGGAACACTACACCGATTCCAGGCTGCTAACACAATTCTGGCCACTGGGGTATATTTAACCCTGATATATATTTATTTATTTAAAATGGATTATAAAAATAAGTAGGACCTTTACCTTTGCTGTTTCTTTCTTTCAGGGTTATGGTAGAACCTTCTTTTCAGCAACCTCAGCTCACACATGCACTGGTGATGGAAATGCTATGGTTGCACGGGCTGGGCTTCCCCTCCAGGTTTCTTTTATTTTTTAACCCTGAATTTAGTTTCTGAAACCTCTTCCTTAACTATCTCTTTATCTGTTCTTTCCCCTTTTTGATTTACTCTTCTTACAGGATTTGGAGTTTGTGCAATTTCACCCAACTGGAATCTATGGGGCTGGGTGCCTCATTACTGAAGGTTTGTGCCTATTCCACTTCTTATGAAGTGTGATGTTATGGGTTGAGATTTTCGGTTACATTATCCATTTCATTTTTCCTTATTAAACTTAATTTTTATTGCACGCCTTGTTGAGAGGAATTCATTTCTAAGTTCCATCTGCAATTTGCAGGGTCTCGTGGTGAAGGCGGTATTCTTAGAAATAGTGAAGGTGAACGCTTTATGGAACGGTATGCACCTACTGCCAAGGATCTTGCTTCAAGGGATGTTGTTTCGAGATCTATGACGATGGAAATAAGGGAAGGTCGTGGTGTAGGTATGATTCTCTCTTCATTGCTGTCATCTCTATATTTCAGCACCCAGCGTCATCTGTATTTTTCCCCCTTGAAGAGTTTATATGAGGTTGCCAATGTGCAGTGAGTTATTGCAATATGGTGCTTGTGGTTTAGAGTAGGTGATTGGTTTATTTTTTTTGTCATTTATGTAATTGTTTAGTCATAGTTTTATGAAGTTTTAGATGTTTTTGTCGATGTATGTGCCATGCCATAAGAAGCATATTTTTGTTTCTAATGTTTTGTGATGCAGACGGTTACCAGTTCCTGCAAGCTAATTTGAACTCATGTTACTAATTGTGATCTTATCTCCAATAGGACCTTTGAAGGACCATATCTATCTCCACTTGAATCACTTGCCTCCAGAGGTGCTCAAGGAGAGGCTTCCAGGTATCTCTGAGACTGCTGCCATTTTTGCTGGAGTGGATGTTACAAAGGAGCCCATCCCAGTCTTGCCTACTGTACACTATAATATGGGTGGAATTCCAACAAATCATCATGGCGAGGTGTTATATTCAGATGCATAGATGCATTTAGATGTGATTCTCAGTACAAATGCTGAAATTTAATTGAGTTTTTCATTTAAGATATACACAAAACAAATGCAAATTTATGTCTGTATGATCTTATAACTGATAAACTCATTTAAAAGTGAAAGAGAATGCAATACTATCTGAAAATAAAAACATGTTACATTGGGTTCTTCAAATAATCTCATCTGGTAGTCAACTATTTGTGGTTTTAGCATTTCCATGATGCATCTTTTGCTGAATAGCTGGCTCGTCTAACATAAACAATTTTGTTTATATTCTCAGGTGGTTACTATCAGAGGCAGTGATCCAGATTCTGTAGTTGCTGGACTAATGGCTGCTGGAGAGGCAGCCTGTGCATCAGTTCATGGTGCCAATCGGTTGGGTGCAAATTCCCTTCTCGACATCGTTGTCTTTGGTCGGGCTTGTGCCAACCGAGTTGCAGAGATCAATAGGCCAGGCAAGTTGTATTGCATTCTTTTGTATACAAGTACCTTTGCCATTCATGTCTAAATGTTAATTCATTTACTAGTTATTTTCAGGGGAGAAGCAGAAACCTTTGGAAAAGGATGCTGGTGAAAAAACAATTGCATGGCTAGACAAACTAAGAAATTCTAATGGTTCTCTTCCAACTTCAAAAATTCGATTAAATATGCAACGAGTAATGCAAAACAATGCTGCTGTGTTCCGGACACAGGAGACACTAGAAGAAGGTGTGTCATGCTTCTTGTTAATGTTGTAACTTTGCCCTTCTATTTTCCCGTCATGTGTCTTCCTCCTGCCTTTCAGTCTTTTGCTTGTTCTTTTGCTGGCAAATTTAATCTAGCTTTATGTTCTTTCAAAAAAAAATCTAGCGTTATGCTCATGAGATGCCTACTTGATGGAACCAATATTAAGTTAACACTTGGGAAAAGCTCTAACTATATCTTTCTATTTTTTAGGTTGTCAGTTAATCAATAAGACATGGGAAAGTTTCCATGATGTTAGCTTGAAGGATCGCAGCTTAATATGGTAAGATTGCAGGAACTAGGATTTTTTTGGCCGAGTAATTCTTGTAGTTTTAGTTCGTTTTATGTACTTCATTTTTAAAATGTTTTGCAGGAACTCTGATTTGATAGAAACTATTGAGTTGGAAAATCTTCTGATAAATGCCTGTATCACTATGAATTCTGCTGAAGCAAGGAAAGAGAGCAGAGGAGCACATGCTCGTGAAGATTTTACAGTTAGTTTTACCTTTTTTTAGTTTGGTTGTGTCCTTTTTGCTTAGCTTTGGTACAATAAGGTTTTTTCTTTTATTTTGCAGAAAAGAGATGATGAGAACTGGATGAAGCACACATTGGGGTAAGTTCTCTTTCCATTGAAAGAATACAATTTAAACATGTAGACCGGTTATCGTGACGGTTGGGCGGACGTGTTTGTAGTGAAAACAGGTTTCTGTTATTATCTCGTATAATCCTGATTTATAGTTTCCTTTTGTTCGGACTTTTAAGTTATTGAGTCTCATTTAGAATATGAACCAGAGGAGTGGTTTATGGCTAGACTCTTGGTTGTGGTCATTAAATCACTCCCCAATGCAGTGAAGGTGCCTTGCACCATGTTCCCTCAGGAAGCCTAAATCTATCCAGAATGTCATGAAGTTGAGTGTTTACAAATTCTACTTTGGTTTGCAGCTACTGGGAGAATGAGAAGGTGAGACTGGCTTACCGGCCAGTTCATATGAACACATTAGATGATGAGGTTGAGTCATTCCCACCTAAAGCTCGTGTCTACTAATCTTTGTGCCTTTATGCAAATGGTTAAGAGGATCCAATAATTCAGCATGGGGTAAACTATGCCGAAAGGGGATGCAATAAAATATTTGTAAGCACAACATGCTGGCAATATTTGTGCCATTCATCAATCTTGGAACTTCTGTGATTGAAAGCATTCAATAAGTTTCAGTTTGAGTCAGAATTTTGTAATTGTATGTCAGCAATAAGGTTATGGTTGCTGAATTCGATCATCTTTCTTTTATACAGTGACCTTTTTACTTCGAACTTTATCTCGAGCATGTGGACTATCTGGACGCATTTCAAAGTTTGCTTCGTTTCAAGGTTTTCAGCTAGCCAACTACCCCAAGCCAGAGTTCCCTAACCCCTTTCTCTAAACCCACCCAGGAGGCAAAGATAATATCGAAACAAGCAACCCACAAACTCGAAATATCAGAACGAGCAAGTCATAATCGTGATATCCCATGTAGTAACTTTTTTAAGTAAATGAAGGCTAGCAATAGATAATAGTTTTTTAAGAATGTCAATCAGTTTTAAAATTATATTGTATTAAAGTTATTTTTAATATTTTTATATGAATATTATAAAAAAAATTCACACCCACCCCCAACAATTGCTGTAGAGTGTCTAGTAACTGTATGAGTTCCATCGAGAAGTGCATCTAAGACTCGTAGAATTAAACAAAGCCATGGATCTTTAGAATGTGGCTCGATACACATTCCCTTTTCCTTTGTATTGCCAATTCACTGTACTGGGATCATCTGATTCCTGATTCAAGATTAGAATCCAAGAGTCTGTGGTATAGAAAACAGAATAAGGTGCCTAATTGTTTGGATTAAGATGTGGGGCTGCTAATCCATACGAAAGGCCTTGGAAACCAGCCGTTAAGTTGTTGATTGTGTTCTCTCTCTTGTACAAACCATCACTCACTATCGAGGGAGACAGGCAAATGTTATCACTCCAACCAATTCAAGTGGGTTGCTTGTCAATGCTGGTAATTCAATTAGAACAATAATTTCAATTATCTAATTGTTAAAGACTTTAGGAGGCGGTTTAAGAGTTTTTTTCAGTACTCGTGCTCATCCTTTTTTTACAATATTATCCTTTATTTTTTCCCCTCAAGGATAACATTTACTTTCATGATTACATTAATTTAAACGAAGTTATTTTCAAGACAATAATTTATATGATATAGTAATTTTATTTTATTATTTTTATTCGTTATTATTTTTTAACGTTTAGTGTTAACCTTTTAGTTTTACAGCATTATCTATTTACCAACAGTCAATACATTAGTTCAGAAATACTAATCATTATAACCATGACTAAAATAAGGTACAAATATACATTGTGAATTATAAAATTGAATGGTAAATATAAATACAGTTTTCCAGGCGATACAGAAAAGCCTTGTTCCGTTTGACAAAAGTACAGTGTCTCCCACTACAGATGGTCAGTCATCTTAACAGATCCAAACTGATATTTCATATTTGCAATTATATTTCTCTACCTCAAGCTATATATATGGGTCGTCGTTTCTTCACTATTATGTTGAGGACATTGCTGTCACTGTTTGTAGTCCGCTTTTGGGTAATCTTCGGATGACGAGGGATCCACTTAATTGCACGTTTGAGTGAAAGATCCAACTCTGTCATCATTTACTAAGAAATAAGAAACGTTGGGGGATTTCACTCTATCCTCTGCCTTTCTATTTTCTAATCATTACGTGTTTGCTACTAATTATCTCTTTTTACTTGTTTGGAATTTTGGAATTGGTGGTTTTAAGTGATGGATTAAGGACAACCATCTTCAAAAACCATACATTCATGTCACGTCCCTATTCGATATTAAACTCTGACCCAAAACAGCTGCACTTTCCTTTCCCACAAATTTCCTTCCCATTTGTGAAACGCATCTTCGTTATATCTTTGCACTGTGATCTTTTGCCCCATAAAAAAATCTTGTTAATAATTAACGAGGGTTTAAATTAAAAATTCAGTAATAATTTGTCACATCGTTTTAAAAAATAAGTATGATAATGTAATAAGATCTGAGGCTAGAATTAGATGTAGAACGTGGAAGTTGATTAAACTAAAAACAAAAATATTATAAGACATGTAGATGTTTGAAAATGGTTCTTTTAATATCATTTTAAATCTAAGTTAAACCCAAATAATAATATTTTTATATAAAAAAAACTATTGCAAATGAAAACAAGGCCAGACCATTATCGATGGACAAAATATCAAATCAAGTGTTTATTTTTTGATATAATTAATAGCAAAAAAAATTGACATTGATTTTACGTGGACGATGTCGTCCAAAATATAAGTCGATCAACATCTTTAACGGGACAAAATAAATAAGACTGAAAGCGATCCACATCTCATAAAAAATGGCAAAGCTTCCGTGCAAAGACGTCGAGTAATCTGCTGAAGACATCGAGAGATCACATTTAACTGTAACAAACAACTCATTTGAGGAAATAATCGCATTACAACATTACTTTGAGAATTAAACATTCCCGTTTGCATTACCGTGGAAGTTTTGCCCATAAATAATGATACTAGTAATGAATGTAATTATAAAATCAATACGTGCCATAATAACATATGAATGTGGATTCAAGCCCATCATTATTAATAAAAAACAATATATTATTATTACGTATACTTAATGTAAATATTTAAAATTTTATATAATATGAATGAATAATATTTATATATAAAACATTAATATTCGTCTTTCTTTTTTCAAAATGTTGATGGTGGGGGGAAAGTCACAATGATAAAGTGAGTGTGAAAAAGAAAAGTTATCAACTTTGAAAACGAATGTCGCAAATTTTCTTCTCAATCATCCAACTGCATGATCATTGACTAAAGACGCAACCATCTAGAAAATAATATAAAAAATATAAATTATGAACGTTTTTAATTAATTATTTAAGTATTTTTTTTCAAAATGAGGAAAATATTAAAAATCAATAAACAATAGTATTGTAATTTATTTAACCCTCAATGTAAACAAATTTCAGTGAACTAAAAGAGAAACTATTAATGAATTGTCGAAATAACATTTTAATATTTGATGGTTGAATAAGACGTGTAATAAACAATTAATATTTATAGAAAAATATATTAAAACTCACATCATATATGTTAAGAGGAACCATCTTCCACCCCCACACCGCAGCCATGAGATGCCAGCGCCTTTCAGTGGAGAAGACGAGACATTGCCTACTGGGGATGTACAAAGTATAACATACTTAATATACTATTAAAGAAAAATGTTATCGAAAATATTAATATTTTTTTTTTAATATTTATGGTAAAGCATTACTTAAAATATTATTTTTTTTATCAAAAATATTAATATTAGATACTACCTAAAATGTTTAACATTTCCGGTAAAGCGCTACATAAAACATTATTTTTTTTCTACTAAAAATATTAATATTGAGCACTACCTCAAATGTTATTTTTTCTACTGAAAATCATTTCATGCACCGTTGCTTTTAATTAATATATGCATATGATAAACCATGTATTTAATCACTTAATATCACTTTAATTCCATTTTGATCACTCAACTATTATTTTTCTCAAAATTATAGTTAATATTACATGTTATTCATCTACTTCTACAAGATTATCAACGATGTCGATGTGTCATCATAAGAAAGTGTTACATTATCATGAGAAAAATAAAAAAAAATCATATCAGTATTTTTATTTATTTGTTAACGATGGGTGAAAAAGAAATAAAAAATATGTTTTAAAAAATAGTAATTTAATGACCAAAACGAAAGTAAGTGATAGTTGGAAGATTAAATACATAGTTTATCCTATATTTATATTTATATTAGTTGTTCTACGTATGAACTAACTTACTTCAGCGATTAAAAGAATGATTATTGTTTTTAAAGATAACAATCAACAATTACAATAAAATAATTAAGTATAATAATTAAAAATAAATAATATTTTATAATCATTTTATCTTGATAAAAGAATCAATTGCACCCCACCTTTGTTATGTTTCTTAAAGCGAATCCCTGGCCTTAGGTGTCCCTCTCTTGTGGGCCCTTAAACGGCCCATAAAAGGACAGACCCTATTCACCAAAACACTTTTGACCCCACCTTCCCGTTTACACTTTCTCTTACCTATCTTTCCATCATCCTTAACAACAAAGGTCTGAACCTATGCCAAAACTAGCACGCACCTCATAAATGGGATGCAGCTGTATACGTCTGCTGGTTTCCATAGGCCTCGGTGATCATCAATGACTTCTAATTGTTGCCTGATGGCTCCATCAAAATTTAATATTGTTGACAGAAACAAATTTAATTGATTACTTATTAACAGTTTATTTATTTATTATTTAAATATAAAACTATAATCAATAAAAATATAATCGTTGATAGATATTTTTTAATTAGAGAACGATAAAAAATATTAAAGAGGATGATAGATTTTAATGAAGATTTAAAAAAAACTTATTTGACCTTTTTATTAAAATATAAATAACCTAATCGTAAGATATTTGATGTTAAATTTAAAATCATCGTGATTGTTAATAAACTGTCAAATTATATAGATATAGGGGGAGAGTTTAAGGAAATAGAATCTAATTTAAGGTTAGGAAAAGGCACGATCGAAAAATATTATAAAATTTATAACATTTTTTATTGTGCGTAACTTAAAATATTAATTTATTCTTAATAGTATTCTATTGTAAACTTTTTGTAATATTTTAGGTTTCATCCAACTAAAAATGTTGTGATTTTTATAATATTTCAGGTTCAACTCAATTGAAAATGTTAGAATTTTTATAACATTTTCTATAATTATTTAGCTAAAATAGATAGGGATCGTAGAAAATTTAATAATTTTTATGGATTTTTAAAAGGTTTGCTCAATAACTACTATAGGTGATTATAATAACGAAAAATCAATACTCTTCAACGAGTTTATTCTGCAAATATAGCACAGGTAAAACAAGACAACTATGCTGAATTACAATTAATTATTGAATTATTCAAATCAATTCATATTATAAAAATTAAATTAAAACTAAATTATTGGATTAAGGATTTTTTTTAAAAACTCTTTAAGTATTTTAGAAATCATTAAACTTTTATTTTTTTATCTTATTAAAATTTTAAACTCAAAAAATTAGTAAATATAGTCTTATAAACTAAAAATACTATATGATATATATATATATATATATATATATATATATTATTTGAAAAATAAAATTA